TGCATGGCTGCCAGCAGCCATCTTGGCTGGCAGTTAATTTGCATATCGCCCTGATTAGCCAATGGGAAGGATAGCGGATGTACAGCTAATTACCATGTTTCTCTTTTATTAGATAGGATGCTTATAATTGGAGTCTTTAGTATTTGACCATACAGTGGCTAAAATTTTTCTAATTTGTTTAAACCTGCAGGTCCAAGAAGCTCAATGAACCCCAGGAAATTAGAACAATACTACACCATGGTGTATTATAACCAAATTGCTCAAAACCAAGGATAAAGAGATTTCTTTAAAGCAGCCAGAGGAAAAATACATCTGATATACATGGGAACAAAGAAAATGATCCAGTAGATTTCTCGTCACAAACAATGTTCAGGAAGATAGACGTTACCAGGGCAACTTAGAATTCTGTGACTAGTAATAATATGTATCATAACTTAAGGAGAAATAAACTCACAGACACACTAACTTGAGAGGATTTGTTACCAACTGACCCACAGTATGACAAATATTAATATCCTGTAAGCCAAAGGAAAATGATACAAGGTGGATATTGATCTGCAAAAGAAAAAAGAAAGAAAAGAAAAAGAAAGAAAAAAAAGCACCAGATCTTTCATGTAAAGTGTTAAAATAACAAAAATGATCGCATGCTTACAAAGTTGAACAGTGTATAAGACAAAGTAAATTCAAAGAAGGCTCATGTTTCTTCTACCTTATTCCTTCCGCCTCTTCCTCCTCTTCTGCAGGTAGCTATGAAAATTTAACTTAATCTACATTTATCCTTTCATTTGGAAAATATAGCATAAGTGTGTGTTTATATAGAATGTCCAAATATACAGGGATGGGCAAAAGGAGGTTTACAATAAACAATACAATAATTAAAAAATAAAATACAAGAATAGACTGATTCATGTCTTCATAGCTGTAAACTGTATATTAATAAACACACATATGTAACTCTAGCAAGTAACAGCTTCAGGATTTCCTTTCTCTTTCTCTTCTATCACAAACCACCCTGCAGGAGACAGCTCAGCCAAAGCATGATTTTAAACTGCATTCGGAAGTCCTAACTGAATTTATACAAATGAGTCCGTAAGGAATCCCCAAGATCCCTTAGTATAATCCCAGCTCATTTTTTTCTCACCATGTATTTCATGTTGGCCGCGGAGGGCTGGACTGTGCGACGCATTTCATTGTGAGCTGCGACACAGTCCTCTATGAACTTCTTGTCTTCGATGGAAGGTACGGTGGGAGTTTGACTGGCTACCAGATAGAAACCTAAAGTCCATAAGAAATTTAATTTATTCCCATAAACCATGGCAAGATGCAGAGGATGCCCTGGTTGTGTGGACTGGTAATGGCCAAGCCAGCCAGTGCTCTGCAACTAGGCCCAACTTTCTCTGCTGGCTTGAGCTCATAGAGGGTTGCACAGCAAGCTGGGCCCCAGGGGCGGGGCCAGAATGGACAGGGAACAGGCAGCAGGAGGAGCTGGCCAGAAAGCCCTGGGCTACAGGGGAAAGCCTTGAGTTGCCCCCTGGTGCAGGCATTCAACCATCCTGAAGGCACTGTCTGTGGACCTAATCTGGAATCACCTCGAAGGGCGTCTGGATTGTAATCCAGATTGCAACATTCAGGCAGCACCGTGTCATGCAAAAGAACGACATGAATTAGATGCCGACAATGGACCAGGCCTGTGCAAAACCCTACATGTTAGTTTCATAGACTCAGCTTCTGTGTATTGCTTTTTTATTGTTTTAAATAAATTGCAATATCATATTGCTGGTTTCCCCAGAGATTGGGAGGAAAGCTAGCATACTGAATGACATAGTGTAATTCTCAATTATTTTGTGAAAGACTTAATTCAATGACTTGCTTGTTTTAATATCTAAAGAGAATGACTGCCTAGAACAGTGGTTCTCAACCTTCTGGCCCTTTAAATACAGTTTCTCATGTTGTGACCCAACTATAAAATTATTTTCGTTGCTACTTCATAACTGTAATGTTGCTACTGTTATGAATCGTAATGTAAATATCTGATATGCAGGATGGTCTTAGGCGACCCCTGTGAAAGGGTCGTTCGACCGCCAAAGGGGTCGCGACCCACAGGTTGAGAACCGCTGGCCTAGAAAGATAAAAACAGACACATGGAAAGTGTAGCCAAGTACTTTCCCTGGACAAAATCTCTTCTTCTTGAACCTTACCTTTGGAACACACCTGCCGTTTTGGTGACTAGGGCATTTCAGATAAGGACTCATTTAATTGGTATGCTGAAGACTACGGCAGAGTACATTTATTAGTTCTTTTATTTATTCTATATAATAAAAGGCTGACACGCAAATTGTCTCCAAGGACAGGAGTTTGATGCGATGCAGAACAAGGCAGGTGTTGGCGACAGAGTGCTGGCAGGGGGCAGCAGTGGAGGCGCTGCTGGCCCCATGGGGCCTGATGAGTGCGGAACTGTGGTGGAATGGAGGAGCAGGTGAGCAGGCAGCACCAGGCCAAGGTGGGTGCTAGCGGGGGTCCCAATTGCCCTGCCAGTCACCCCACAGATTGGCCCTGATCGCCGGCCAGGCCTAGAGAACCTACCCGTGCATGAATTTTGTCCACCAAGCCTCTAGTTGCAATATATGCAATATAAATGAATTTCATTGGGATTAATGTTTAATACCCATTACATCAGTTATATTATTATTCAATAATAAGTCAGCACTTTTTCTGAGCTATTAAATGACATTTTTATTATTGTTGTGTTTCAAATAAATATATATTTTTTAAAATATGTTTTATTTATTTCTTTATTTAGTTAGTTAGTTAGAGAGGAATGGAGAGGGAGAGAAAAAACATCCTGCATGCCCCCTACTGGCAATTGATCCTGCTGCTGGGGATGGAGTCTCTTGGTGTGGTGACAACACTCAACCAACTGAGCTACATTGGCCAAGGCTTAAATAAATATCTTAATTTGATGATTTGAGGTTGTTTACAATGCTAATTAACTTAAGTGAGCACATATTCACATCTACTGATATTCTAATCCATTAAGCTTGCCACCAAAAAAATCCCAAAACTTTGATGCTACTAGTCATTACTTGTTCATAAAATGCAGAAATTTATTATAAAATGGGTGAAAATACAAGGATCCCAATGGAAATTCTACTGAGCAATACATATTTCTGTTCAATTATCTGCTAATGGAGAATGCCAATGTGTGTTACTTTAACATTACATATACAGTCTAAACTGAGCTTCTGATATACCCTACATCCCAATCCTGACCTTTCCAGAATCTTCCCTATCTCAGTTAATGGCAGTTCTCTCTCTCATTTGTGTATTTTTGTTTGTTTGTTTGGTGTGTGTGTGTGTTTTTTATCTATTGCTCAGGCCTCAAACTTTGGAGGCTTTGGTTCTTTAGCAAATTTTGATGGCTTTGTCTTTATGTTCTCAGACCTTCCTTGACCAGTCCTCACCATTTAAAATGTCATCTTCTCGAGGGAGAACTAAGATGGTGTCAAAGGTAAACACCTGTACTTGCTGCCTCCTACAACCACATCAGAATTACAATTAAAATACAGAACAACCATCATCCAGAAGCGCCAGAAAGCTGGCTGAATGGAAGTCCTACAACTAGAGAAGTAAAGAAGAAAGCACACTGAGACTGGTAGGAGGGGCAGAAAGGGCTGGTCCAGCACCCACGTGTGCCGCTATTTTAATCAGGAGGGAGATAACCTCTGGGGAGGCCACCCAGAGGAGCAAGGGGCCCCGGTCCCACACCAGACCCCTAGCCCAGGGTTCCAGAGCTTGGAAAGGGAGCCCCTATAGGCAGTAAGAACTACAGGCTGTAAAAACCAGTGGGGATTGGGGCTCAGTGACACAGAGGCTGCTGGAGACCCAGCTGCTCCTCTTAAAAGGCCGGCACCATGAACTGAATTTACAAGCTCCCATTTCCTCTGAGCTCCAGTGCCAAGCGAGGCTCTGGAGGACCCAGAAACATATGGGAGTAACTGGACTGTCTGGCATTGGAGCAGGAACTCAGGGGTGGCTTTCTTTTAGACGGAGGTGCTTGCATTGTTCCCGTGCTGGGACCTCCCTTGTGGAAAGTGATTTTGGAAAAGCCACATTCATGGGCCTGACAAGGATGATCTCTCCTCAGGCCTTTGCCCTCGCTGTTCCATTTGTCCTTAGGATTCCCCTCAGTAAAGCCATACCTGATCTCACCTCATTTTCTAACGGTCAATGTCTAGCCCATTAACTGTTGCTATCTGAACATCATATTATTTATGTCTTTAACATTTGTCACCTCTGTTAGATTGTAACCTTCACTAAGAGACTGGCTTTCTTTGCTTCACTGCTATATCTACAGCCTATAGATCAGGTACTGAACCCTTATGCCCGCAATAAAATTTTTTGAATGAGTTCCTGAAGACATGAACACTCTAACTTTCCAATAATATGCATACAAATGTTAGGTTTTTTAGAAACTATATCTTATTTGTTATATACATACAATGACTCAATAACTTTTTTAGACTCAATTTAAAAGATAATAAGTAGGCTCATATGTTTTTACTATTCATGACAATGGAAATATTTGCAGATAGTAGGTGTTCCATGAATATTTATTGAGCTCCAAATGCAAATTATTTTGATACTGAAAATAATATAGGTTAACATATAGTCAATTTAGTTTCATTTTGTTTATAGAGAAATTAATTGGCTGTAATAACTACAGAACTTTTGTAATGAATTTTATTGAAGAATGGCAAAAATGTATAATTTATATAATCAACCCATAATCCAAGATTTCTGCTTTTTTTCATAGATGTTTTAATCCAATAACTAGATTAGATAGATTTGTTTTAATTAGACCATGTTACTAATGGCTTAGAGAATTACATTCAGAAATACTATACAGTTTAGGTATAGGAAGCCTAAGTTCCAGGAATAGATAAGGATATTTCATTTTCATGCAAATGTATTTGTTCAATGGGCAATGATAGTTGGGCATGAGAATTTTTAAGGGTTTTGGTAAATGTTTAAAAGTTGAAGTCTAGCGTTAATTTCATTATTACTTCTTATTCAGTTTATTTTTGCTCTTCTTTCTGTGTGGGGATAATGGGTAAAAGAGTTTTATGGAGTGCAGGGAAGAAACAGAAGGCATGATTGCCTTATACCCATTTACTTCACTACCTTTATTCTTTAAAAATATATTTGTCTTTTTACTCCACAATTTTCTCCAACTGGAAATACAGTGCATGTATTTTGAGGGGAGCCAGTGTGAAAAGGCACTGCAGAGTAGAAAACAACCTGATTTTATGGGAAGAGACCTGGATTAGGCTTCAGAAGCTCTTAGTTCTAGCTTGGGTATCTGACACTTGCTCGTACAGTTCAGGAAAGTCAGTCAGGCATCCTAGAGTGGAACGGAACCTTAGAAACCTCTCAAATCAGACCTTTTCTTTTATTGGTGAGGAGTTGACTTCCAAAGACATTGTGTGTAGAGCAAAGAATAAAATGGAGGTTTCCTGATTCCTAAGCCTGTTCCTGTTATATCCACATGTTAATCTATAATCATATATATTATATACAACAAATGATCGTATATATTTGTGTATATGTGCACACATTTTTAAAGAAATATTTATGTCTATGTCTATATAGCTCTCTATAACATTGTATTGCAATCTTGGCTTTTTCAATAATTGCAAACTCCTTGAGAGCTTATACTTAAAAATTTTCCCCATCAAAATATCATTCTGGGGCTGACACCTGGTAGATGCTCCATAAAATACGTTCAATAGAATTCGCCTAAAGGAGGAATTATACAACTGCCATTGATCCAGATCGGGCTTTCACTCTCTCCCTGCGCAGGAGCAGCACCAGCTCCAGTGAGTCCGCTCCAGCTCCTCCCCAGGGTTTAGAGGCGTCACAGAGCTGGACACAGGGTAAGGCCCTGGAGGCTGCTACTAGAAGTTCCCTTTCTGGGTGAGCACCTCTGAGAGGCTGGCGGGTCACTTTAGGCGAGGACCCCGGGGGAGGAGACATGACCCACACAGCTTGGGGGCAGCGGGAGATGGTGTGGATGCAGCGAGGGACTTGGGACTATGGCCCTCTTTCCCTGGAAGTGAGAGAAGGGTTGAAGGCCCAGGTGGGGAAGCCGGTTGCCAGGCAACCTGCAGACTCTGGTCTGAGTTGGCTGGAGCCTTTGCTGGAAACCGCCCCTTTTCCTTGTGTGTCTGAAAGTGTCTCAAGAGGGTTCTTGGTGAAATCGCCCAGCGTATATCTTCCCCAGCCCTCCCACTTTGGACCTGCTTTTTACCCAGCTTG